TTCAGACTCTTGGGGCTCTTGGACTTTTAAATCACTCCGCTTCCAGGATACTGGCGTTTGGTTAGGGAAAGACTCTGCTGGGAAAGTGGGACTGTCACAGAGAAAGGAGTCTTGGCTTCAGACCCAGCAGGGTGCTCCTGGCGGTGAATAGGCTAGCTCTCTGCAGGCTCCCCTTTGAGAACCCCAGGGGAGGAGCTGCATGCATGCACACAGAATCTGCCACCGTCTCTTGGTGCCTCGCGAAGAAATCTTAACAAACAGCCAGGGAATCACCAGGTGTTTGTGGGAAGCTCTAGAATGAAAGGAAAAGACCAAAACAGGAAGCAGGAAGAACAAAAACCCTTCAAAGGGAACATCCAAAGAGAGGTAAGAGAAGACAACCTAGTCCTTGAAGTAAAAAAGGGTGTGTCTCAGTCTGGTTAGGCCACTTTAACAAAATATCATAGGCAGATGAGTGGCTTATAAACAAGTAAAGTTTATTGCAGTACTTACAGTTCTGGAGGCTGCAGAGTCCCAAATCAAGGCATTAGCAGATTCAGTGTCTGCTCTGGGGCCTGCTTTCTGCTTCATAGATGGTGCTTTCTCTCTATTAGAAAGGGTGAGTTAGTTCTCTTGGGTCTCTCTCTCTTTTTTTTAATGATACTAAGTTGCCTCTCAGAGGCCCACCTTCTAAAACCATCACACTGGGGGATTAAGTTTCAACATTTGAATTTCAGGGAGGACACAAACATTCAGGATGCAATATAAAATAAACAATCATAACAAGACAGGGCTTTTGCCCGTTTTAAAAAAATCTAGAATATTTAAAAACAAATACTCAAAAAAAATCAGAGGATCCATTCTGAGTGTCCAATAGCCAGCAAAAATGATCAAAGAAATAATTCTTGGAAATCTCTCAGAATGGAAGGAAAAGAGTCTCATGATTGAAGGTCCCACTAAGTGAGCAACAAAATGAATGGGGGAAAGGCTTAGACAAGGGGAGATGCTTTTAAAAAAAACTTCAAAACTCTAAGGATGAAGAGGAGATCCTGAGATCTCTCTAAAAATACAAAGAAGTAGGAGCCAGTTTGGAAGTTGTATCTCAGTAGCAACACCGGAGCTCAGAAAAGGTTGGACACGTTCTTTGCAATTTGGGGCAGCGGAGAGTGATTTCCAAACTAGAATTCTTACAAACCCAGGTAAGGTATGATGGCAGGATTTTTGGAAATGCATGATTTCTAAGTAAGCCAAGAGAGGGAAGACACAAAATTTATGAATTTCAGAAATAGGGATTCAACAGAGCAAAGGAGTGAGACTGCAGGCCAGGGTGACAGGTACAAGGCAGGTCTACAGAGGATGGCAGGTTAGACTGGAACACAAGACGGAGTTTCCCAGAGAAGAAATGTAAACACTGTGTTTGAGCTATTCAGAAAATATGAACACCTGTGTAACACAGATGGTGAAGCATTAAAAAAAGTAAAGAATCAGACAGATCATTAAAATCTAGGCAAATGAATATTATATAATTCTAAAACGGTCTCAAATAACAGAAATGAAGTCATTATTATTATAATTATTGATATGGGTCTTGCTATGTAGTTCAGGCTGGCCTTGAGCTCACTTTGTAGCCCAGGCAGCCTTCAAATTCATGGCAAACCTCCTGCCCAGTCTCCCAAGTGCTGGGATTACAGTGCGTGCCATCACATCCAGCAGAAGTAAAGTAATTATTAACTCCAGGCAAAAAATAAAGTTACACAAGCAAGAAAGCAGGACCATAGTATACACTTGGTTCTGCAGTGACCAGTGTTGGCATAATAATCATAATATAAATACTGACTATAGGTTCAACCAAAATGTATGATACAACCATGCAACTGAGAGGAATAGAAAGTGGAAAGTATTGTGAGTTAAGTCCACATCTCTCATGACAACAAATCCATAGGTACTGGCTAAAATGAACAAACCAAGAAACTATACATACTGTGTAGAAGTACAGGGTTAAATAGCCAAGGAGCTGGGAGCAGCTACGTAAAGGATGTTGCTGGTGGGTAGGGTAATGCTTTTCATTACAACCCAAAGTACTTTTTTTTTGCAGAGGAGAGAATTGAGGTAAGTTCTTGTTATATAGCCCGCACTGGCCCTGAACTTGAGAACCTCCAGCCTCAGACTCCTGAGTGCTAATATTACAGGCATGCACTACCACACCTAGACTTTTTAATACTTTTTGGTTTTAAAAACATGTACTTGGAATATTTTCAAAAGCATAGTTTTTAAATAAAATCCAGGCACTAGGAAGATGACGCTGTCTCAGTTGTTCCTCTAAATGAATCTCTGATTAGTGCCAGAGTGAGTAAAATTCAAATTCTGTAGGGGAAATGAATTGAAAAGCAGTTCAAGGGGAGGAAGACAGGAAGCAGGGAAGCACCTAAAAAGCACGGAGAAGCTGCCAGGAGTGTTTGCATATGTAGGAATATCTAAACATACTACTTTTTGGACAAACTGCCTTTAAATGTACAAGTGCAGTGATATATATTTATTGTGGGGCATTTGGAAAATACAAATGAGCAAATTAAGAGGGAGAGAGAGAAAAATCAAAACCATCCCAAATCTCATCACCCAGAGATAATGACTATTATTATTTATTGGCAACATATTTTTAAAGCCAAATCACACCACACTGCATAACATCTCTGTGTTTCACCTTATTTCCCCTTAGCATTTATTTTTCCAGGTCACTATTACCATTCAAAAATGATTTGAAATGGCTACTTTGTATTTCAATATATAAGTAGGTATAATTTATGGTTTATAATTTACAATTTATGCTTTCTCCAGTCTCCAAGAGCTGAACATTTTCCTTCATAATTATAAATAATATTTTGGTGATTTTCCTTGACTGTAAATTTATGGGATCTCTTATTATGTCAATCAGTATAAACATGTTTACTCAATGCCAAGGTTGTTTACCTGGAAGATTCTCAGTTTCCATACACTTCTGCCAGGACTGTCTACCATCTTTTGAAACTGTCAACAAATTCAGCTTTTTTTTTTTTTTTTTTTTTTTTTTTGGTGTTTTAAAACAGCATCTTGCTCTATGTATACAGTTCTGGCTGGTCTTGAACTCACTATGTAGCTCAGTCTGGCCTTCAACTCACAGCTATCCTCTTGCTTCAGTCTCTCGAGTGCTGGGATTGCAGGCATGAGTCACCACGTCTGGCAAAATTCAACTTTTTAAATAATCATGTTCATGTACCATAGAATCAAAAAAAGGAAAATCCTTAAAAAAGAATTTCAGACAAAACCAAAGGAATCAAAATATATTTCACATTAATAACAATACTACATTTAAAGGCAAAGTTAGAGGTGGAAGAACTCACTCAAGAAACTTAAAAGAGTATTTTAATATATATCTTCTGGCTATAAAGAATCATAAATAATTACTGGATGCTAACTGGCAGGATTGTCTGCAGTGGCATGGATTAGCAATACTGAAGTTACTTTAAGAACATATTCTCAAATAGAACAAAGAAAGAAACTGAGTAATAGGAACCAGGTTTCTCAACTACTGGCAGAGGGAGTTACACACAGAAAAAGGCAAAGCTAGATCATTCTAGTATACTACTTTTTTCTTACCTACCAAGTTGGCAAAATGGTTTATTTTAAAATAATTTGAGGCTTACAGAAAAGCGACAAGAACAACATAAAGAATCCCTATATAATCTCAACCCAAATTCCTCAGTTGCTAACGTTTTACCTTTTCTGCTTCATCATTTTTATGTTTGTCTTCAAACTGTTTTCTAACCCATTTGAGAGTAAATTATAGACAGGATGCCCCTTTAATCCTAAAGCGTACATAGCACAATTAAAACGTGAATTCATACTGATATCTCGAATCCAGCCTTGGACCACTAACGTATCCATTCATTTCTAAAAATCGGAACCTGCAGTACCTTAGAAACGTAGATAGCTGGAGAAATGCAAACAAGAGCTTAGGAGGGAAGTTTGAGAAGGAAGAAGGGGTCCAGGAAAGAAAGCTGGGAGTCCTGAGATGAAGTCTTGGGGAAAAGGTCAGCTTAGGAAACAAGGTTTATAAGGAGACAGGAGTTCACTAGGGTTCCTCTGCAGGCACCTACTAAGACAAAAGAGGAATAGGATGGAATAAGAGGGTATAGGCCTGGAGTAGAACAACGGAGCTGAGTAGGAAGGTGCGGGTGCGGCCTTGTTTAGAGGTCACCTAACCAACAGAGGGAGGACGCGGACTGGGTAGCGACTGGTACTGGACGGCGTTGCCCGGCCTGCCCACGCGCTGTCGAGGGCTGTGCAGGTGCAGGCGCAGGTGCGGGCGGGAGCCAGACTCCTGGGCTGAGCTCCGTCCCCTTATCTGCCGCGGGGCTGAGGAGAGGCCCGCTCGGCCCCGACCTCCAGGCTGCGCAGCACGTGGGGCCCAGCCAGACGCAGAAGGGAAAGTCCAGGGGGGCGTGGCAGCCAGGGGAGCGAGCCCGGCTCCGCGTCAACGTGCGGCCACGGCTGACTTATTGTGGAACTGAGTGGTTAAATCACTCACGCCCAGGGCACTCCTCAAACCCACCGCCTGATGAGCAACCACCAACAGGCAACCCCAGAGGGGCCCCGGGGG